CTAAATACCATGTTAGTGTTATTACAGAAATGGTTTTTGTCTTGTAAAACTCATGCAAGGGTTTTAAGGTTTCCAAGAATTCATAATCATATTTTAAGAACCACTGTTAAAAATTTAACTATATACCTATGCTGTAATACAGTACTTTCACTCCTAGATCTTTACACAACAGAAATGAAAGTGATGATTGACCAAATATTTGCAATAGAAAATTATTTCTTTGCTTATTTATTTATTTATTTACATGGTGCTGGGGATCAAACTCAGGGCCTTGTGCATGCAAGGCAAGAACTCTGCCACCGAGCCACATGCCCGGATGTGCAATAGAAATTGATAGCGATCTCATTCAGAATCTCTAAGAACTGGATATAAGCAAAATATCCATTAAGAAAAGAAAGGATGAAAAAATCATCATATATCAGTAGAATAGAGTGATATGATAAAAAGGTGAAGAAATGGTAAATGTAATAATTACATGTTTCTGTCCGAATTATTACATTAATTGAGAGAGACAAGACATAAGTGAGTATGTGTTATTTGGTTCCATTTATACAAAATGCAAATAGCAGTAAAAATTGAACTACAATCATAGAAACTACATATTTTTCATGGGACTAGAAAGAGCTAAGGGGAAATTCTCCAGGTGGGAGAAATGTTCTATAACTTGTTTTAGGTGAGTGCAGTTTTCAAAACTTATCAAACAAAATGCTTTAACTTTGTTTATCTTATTGAACATTAATAATAAGTCAATAAAACCACACATAGTCTTTATTCTTAAATGAAAAGTGAAGATAGGCTCTTGAGTTTTTCAATTGTGTCTGCCTTCAGTACCTGCAAAGCTCAGAACTGGAAAACAACTGGTTCTCAACGAATGCCTGATGAATGAAGAGACTCATGCAAAATTTAAAAGCATTTTAGATATGAGGAAAACCAGAATTTCCCATATATTGTGTGATTTAATTACAACATAAATTTATGTTTCTGAAAAAAGAAGTGTGCACATTTCTGTAAAAAAAATTCAAAGTTATTCATCTTACAAATTTAGAAATAAGGACAATATAAAATAAGTAGAGAGAGAATAAATAGAAGTTAGATATTGATAAAGAATATGTGTAAGATCATTCAAAACTTGTTCCTATGAAAAAATAACAATATAAAACAACCTTTGGCAAGACAGAGAAAAGAAAGAAAATTAAAGTAAAAATTATGAATAAAATTAGAGCATAACACCACTTAAAAATAAATCTTTGACAGGAACAGAGTATTGCCAATAAATATACATCAATAATTTTAAAAATCTAAATGAAATGCATAGAAAAATAACATTAAAGATGTTTTAAAAAACAATCTCTTCCTTGCTAACATCCACAAAAGCAAAAATACAGTTGATTTCACAGTCAATTGCTACCAAAATTTTAAAGGATAGACTAAAATTTCAATGCATTATTCTAATGAAGAGAGAGGAAAGTATAGGTTAGTCTGAGCCAGATCCTAAATACAGAAAGTCACTGTAAGAAGGACAAATTATAGGCCTATTTTGCTAATAAATATAAATTTTCAAAGTTCTCTACAAAACAAAAAATTGCGCTCAACATTGTAATGTAATCAGTAATGATAAAATTGAGTTTATCTCAATTATGCAATATTTTAATACTAGAAAATTCATAAATATCTTTTATAAAGTGAGATTTTGAGAGAAAAGAAAAGGTAATATGATTGTCCCCTATGATTCCAGAAAACAACAGAATTTAACACTCATTTGGAGAAAAACTACACAATTTCTTATTAACAAGGAACATGATCTCCCTTAACTTGATGAACAGCATGTACTAAAAATGATTAGAGCAAATATCATCATAACAGGGGAAAACTTTGAAGCAAATTAGGAATGACACACAAGTGCTGATTATTACTATATTATTCAACAACTGTACTGGACTCCTAAGCTTTATAATAAGAATGAAAGAAATGGCAAGAAGGAAATAAAACTGGCATCATTTGCAGATGACATGATTATTTACATAGAGCACACTTCTTCCAAATACATGAACAGAACATTAAAAGAAACAGAAGAATGTAGTGTGTGGCTTTGACAATGACTTCATTGATCTTGTGGTAATCAGCCTCACCAGTCAAAGGAACTCAAGATTCTCTAGGAGTGAGAGAAACCAGTAGCTTCTTCCCAAATAAATGGTAGTTACTGCAGAACTGTATTCAGTTCACCATATGGACCTGGACTTTCAGCTTAGAAGACAGTTAAATTACCCCGTTGTTCTTTGTCCAACTGAAATTAACTGACATTTACTTTATTTTCTACTACATGGGGGTCTAAGTAACAAAAGACAGGCCAGACATGTTTTCAATTGACATGTTTAGTAATCGACAGTTGTAATACATTATAACATAGGTGCTCAGATAACTATTTTAGGTAGTGGGAAGTCACATAGTCATAGGAAACCCTGTTTGGATAACTGAAAGGCATTAGGTTGATTACAGGGAAACAGAAATACTCTGATAACGTGTTTTGTCAACTCTCTGGTACTTTCTTATGCTTAACTTCATACCCCAACTGAAGCAGGGCTGTAAGTGGGGATTTATTGTAGCACAGGCTCCTTCCTGAGAACATAAAGCTGAAAATGAAAAATGCTAATTTGTTTCTGCTGGCCATCGAAACAGAAGGCTGGATAATGCAGGGGCTGTGCCGAGACCCCATAGGCGCCATGGTGTACAGAGAGGAGGGGATTCGTGGATTGTATGCTCAGAGCAAAAACCAGCCAAGACACCACTCAGTCCCAGACAGACCCAAGTCACCTGGGCTCCGTCTCCTTTCCTGTTCTAAGCACTGGCTCTTCACGTAGTCCAACTAACACTGATTCTTGGAGGTACACTGCCTGCCTTTTAGCAACAAGGCCACTCTTCACACACTTAAAAATTAAAGCGAGTTGTACAGATTTCTGTGGTCTGTAACAACCTAGCAGGGCCTAATATTGTATCAGAGGGATTTTCTATGTGAAAAGAGCAACTATCAGTAACTTTGATACTTTCTAAATGAGCAACGCCCTGCAAGGAGGCATTGTGTGTCAGTTCCTAAGGGGCCCTGGACTTGGGCAGCATCCAAGAGCACATCTAATGGTCATTCACAGCTGTGGCACAACGTCCTACCTCTCCTGCAGTGTCAAATGCACCAGGTGTTACATAATCTAAAAATAACTTTTTATTAAAATAAGACTTAGTATGAATACTTAAGATAAAACACCAGTCTTCAAAGACATTCCTTGCTTGCTGGCAGCCTGCTTTTGGCTAAGTTTGAGCCTCGTGGGGTCCCTGCTGTTCTTCTCTGCCCATAGGGGCCCCTCTGAAGAAAAGTTTGAACAACACATGCATTATAATACGTACAACCGGAAAAATCCAAAATTCCTTCTGTTTGACAACATTTATGATTTAATTCAGAAGTTTCACATTAGTTTCTTAGCAACCTTGTGTATTCATTATTTACTCCCACCCTGCCTAAGCATATTACTGGAACACAAATACATATATCAAAATAAATCCTATATTAGTGCATTTAAACATATTTCAGAGAAGATACTTAAATGAGATTATTTAACTTTATAGCTATGGTTAATAGTCTGTTAAAGTGAAAATGTTATTTAGAGAAGGTAAGGTTTGCAGATAAGGATGAGTAATATAAGTAGATAAAATAAGATAAGTTTATTTATTTGTTTGTTTATTCATTTGCTGATTTATTTAGGCAGTGCTGGGGATTAAACCAAGGGCCTTGTGCATGGTAGGTAAGCACTCTACCACTGAACTACATACCCAGCTGAGTTTTGAGTATGGCAAATCTTAATGACACAGCTCTAAAACATAGTACTGAGTGGTTAAAAAGTGAGAGAAACATCAATGTATGTCATTTAAGACTTACTTCAAGCAAAAATATAAAATATTGAATAAGCATGTATTTTCTATGGGTGGTTATTTCTGAGTATAAAACTCACACAGCCAAAGTCTGGAAATATCCACTGTCAATGTAACAGTAACTGTGTTTGAGGGAATAAATGGATCTAGCTGAAAGATCAGAGGGTCTATCAGTCTCCCATGTATACTCTTCTGCATGCAGGTAAGTTCTTCCCTTCTAAAAAGCAGTTACTGTGTTCCACAGCATTTCCAAATTTGCTTTAGGCAATGTGGAGGAGCGGGTGTCACAGTGCTGCCTATGATACGTAAGTAAAAGCCACACAGCCACAAGAAAGAAGTGTAATGCTTGGTTGCTGTTTTAAAGGACAAGATCTTTTAATGATTTGCTTTTCTAATTTCTACTAAAATTTTATTAACATAACGTGTGTTTATATTTTAATAACTTTTAACCTAAGTTTTGAAAGATAAGAGTAATCCAACAAACTATAAAATTGAGCTAAATTCAATAAACTCAAGTTAAAAAATCATTAAAGTCTCTCCCGAGGAATGACTGTTTTGAAGCTCTTGCTTAAGTGTCTATAAAAAGACCAACAAGATACTTAGTTGTCTCTTTATTACCATTATTTCTCCCATTGACTTACACAGTAATTTCAAATATGCTTTATTTTTGGTCTGGGTTCATTTTCTGTTGGCATTGAGTCCAAACAAAAGAGCTTTAATTTCCCCTCATCGCTGACTTTCAACTTTCAGTTCTGTGACAGTTAATAATCTGTAAACAAACACTAAAACACTCTAGCAGAGTTTTCCTTAAAGGGATTTCAGAATTTTGTTACACAACTGGCAAGCTGGTGAGTCTTTATCTTAGTTTTGTTTTTTCTTCCCAGAGCAAACTGATTTGGAATGCTGTGAGGCTGGCCCAAGGTTTCACAGTTCATGAGTGGTCGGATAAGAGTCACACACCAATTCTCAGACCAGGATGTTCTTCCTACGTTGCTCTGTCTCTGACATTACTATGACAAGGCAAGTTATTTGGAGTTTTAAGTGTTGAATTTCTACATCTTCAAGTTGAAGGCTCATTAATTCTTTAAGCAACCTTCGTGAGCTTTATAGCTTTTCCATATGGATCATCAGAAGAAAAACCATCACTTCCCTACTTTGTACAAGAAGTAAGGTTTCATTTTATAAAAATATCTTATTCTTTTTGGGAAATATCAGTGGTAACGGAGGTAGTTTTCAGTGTTTCTCTATAAATTATGGCTGACTTCACAGTAAATGGGAGAAAAAAAAAGAAATCAAAATTGACAGTGTTGATTTTCATGGGTAGGGAATGATACCCAAGCAGGAAAATGAATCAAAGTTTCAATGCTCCTTATCATTATACACTATGGGAAAGCCCACAGAAAGCCCAGAACACAGAACAATTCTTTCACTTACTCTTTACTATAAAAATCTATGAGCATCTAATTAAAAAGGTATATGGGCACTTCACCAGGGAATTTCTCATGCTACCTCTATACTCCTATTTTTCAAAGATCTATTTCAGTATACATGTCCTTCTTTTAAATACTACATATTGTTTTGCGTTTTCTCAGATTAAAAGGGTAATAATATAATTTTGAAAGATTTTAGAAAAGTACAGAATAAATATATATATGCATGGTTGATTATGTTCTTTGTAGGTACCAGGCACTACACTAATTCACATCTATTGTCTGTATTTTTTTTTTTTACAATAACCTCAGGAAGTACTTATTTTTTTTTTTCTGGTACCAGGAATCAAACTCATGACCTCGTGCCTGCCAGGCAGGTGCTTTGTTGCTGAGCTAAAACCCCAGCCCCGGAAGTAATTATTTTACTGTGACTCCTTTACAACTGCCCAACTGGGACTTGCGCAGGAAAAGAGCTTACCTGTAGTCAGACATCTAGTAACCTGAGATAATAATACTTAAATTAGTGTCTTCAGATACCAGGTCCAAAGCCTTTTGCCTTTTATTATCTGTCTAGGAACTTGTGAGTCCTAGAACACAGAGAACAATAAAAGGTACTAGGTATTGCTCAACAGCAACTGTTCAAGAGAGAGTGTTATTACACTCTATTATTATTGCACCTGCTCCCAGCAAAACTGTAATTTACCGGCTGCTAGTCTTAATGTACTATTTGGTCCTCATCCTAGTTGACTTCCTCTCTCACCGGTGTCTGATGCTGCTACCCCTGCCCTAACAGAGTACTCATCTCTCAGCTCCTATTACATCTCCCTCTGACAGTGTTTCCACTTCTCTGGCCCGCCCAGGCTTCTCTCCTGCCATTATGACTTTACCTTCTCTCATCCAGTCATAAATGCCAGTCTTGGAATTTCATTTTCCACCGCACATACCTATCACTCATACTTGTGTCCTCAGTTTCAACTTTCCCGTGTAAGTTCATCCAGAGCTCTTTTCTGTATTCCAGGGAGATAGCAAAAACATCTCGGAATCTTCAGTTGACTCTCTCGAAGTTACCTAAGAGCTCAGTTGGCCTCAAATCCCTTTCTCAAGCTCAGCCTTCTTCTAGGGTTAAATCACTCAGCTGGCAACAGTTTCATGCCAGTCAAGTACGCAAGCTGGGAGACTTGGAGTGAGCTTCATCACCAGCTCACCATTCCTATTCAACTCCAAATATCAGCTCCCTACAGAGTCCTTTCAAGGATGGCTTCTCTCTGCAACTGCGATCTCCTTTGTCTAACCCACCCCATCTCTTGTCCAGGGACTTCCACCACCTCCCCACTGCCCTCTCAGTACCCCAACTCCCACTCCCACACTGCAGAGTCATCTTTTCATATCCCAGCAGCTTGCCCAGATTACAAGATAAAGCCCTAAACAGCACACTGTCCTAAGGGGCCCAGTGCAAATAGGCTCAATGTGCCTGTTGAGGTTACTGTTGCATTTCTTTTCTCTTGTTTTCTGCACTGCACTAAATAGGTTTTTAATTTCTAGAAGCCACAACTCCTTTTGGCCACAGAACCTTAGTAGATTCTCTTCCCTCTACCAGAAACAAATGGTAACCTTGTGTCTCTGTCTCCCTCTGTCTCTGTTCTTTCTGTTGTTCTCTCTATTTCTCTTTTCTCGTGCTCTGTCTTTTTTAAATAAACATACGCAGTGCATACGGCACACTTTATTCTGTTTCATTCTCAGCTTCTAGAACCAAACTGCCCAATGAAACCCTTTTTCAACACCTACACTCCGTCAGTGCCTCTGCAGATGCGTTATTTCCTCCCCAAGAAAAATGCTTCTTCCTTCAGGACACTTACTTTAGTGTATGAGTAGTTTCATTTGTGTGGCTATGGATTTGTTGTCTATTGCCTTCAGGAAACGGCAGTTGAGTCACCCAGCCTATTGCATCCCCACACAGTGGTAGATACTCACTGTGTGTGAATGAATCATTATGCTTCAAGAAGATCAAATGTCAGAGTGAGTTTGAAGGCACAGCACTAAAAATGAACAGATGGGGGCTGGGGATTTAGCTCAGCGGCAAAAGCGCCTGCCTGGCAAGCGCAAGGTCGTGAGTTCGGTTCCCGGTACCGGA